CACTGCAATCGGAAAGGTCGCAGGTGGGGCGGAAGAAGTCGCATGAGCCTGGCACCTTCGCATGACTGCCGACTGATTTGATTTTATGTGCCGTCAAGTCGTTTTCGACTCCTAGCAACCACATAGATGGACTTTCTCCAGGATGCTCCGTCCCTAACCTGGTCCTTCAGGTCTTCCAACGCTGTAACTGAGCCCCTCCCCCTTGCTGCTGGTCGTCCTCCCCTCCTCTTTCCTTCCACCCTTCCCAGCACCAGAGCCTTCTCCAGGGAGCTGGGTCTTCGCACAATGTGTCTGAAGTAGGATAATTTGAGCCTGGTCTTTTGTGCCTCGAGGGAGAACTCCAGACTGATTTGTTCAATGATAGGTTTGTTTTCTTGGCTGTCCATGGTCTTCTCGGGAGTCTTCTCCAACCCCAATGTTCAAAGGCATCAATGCTCTTCCTCTCTTGCGTCTTCAAAGTCCACCTTTCGCTTCCATAGAGGGTCACAGGGAACACTACGGCTTGCACGATTCTGACCTTTGTTGGTACTGACCCACCCCAGCATTTGAATCTCTTCTCCAAGGCCTTCATGGCTGCTCTACTAAGCGCTGGTCTGCAGCGTATTTCTTGCCTGCTGGTTCCTTTACTGTTGATGGATGATCCTAAAAGGCAGAAGCTCTCCACCGCTTCAGTTTTAACTGCTGGGACTTTCCTCCATCAAGGGGATCTGGGTTGCAAGTCCAGCCATCTGAATGAGTTGGGAAGTAGATCCAGATCCTGATTCCACCTGCTTGTAGGTAAAAGCCAAGCTGGGGAGTTGAGAAACCCCCCCAAGGAAGGGCAGGAATGAGCCATTATTTCTGTGCAGCTGCCTCAGAAATGGCAGGGACGCCCCATGGCTTGGCTGGAAGGAGCCTGGAGCTCAAGGGCAAAGGATTGGGTCCCTCTCTCCCTCCCTTCTGGCTACCCGTGGTCCAGAGGGGACACTTCCTGTTCTTTCAGAGGAATCTGCCAGGGGGGGCAAGGGAGGCTGGCCAGTGACCAGAGGCCCTCATGTTCCAGCACCTGCTCGGGCCACCCGAGCTTTACCCGTGATCCCGGGTGGCCAAGGACCGAGGTGACGAAAGCTGGCTCGGCCCCAGGAGCACACCTTTCGAGGAGGGGGGGCGAGGGGGACAAGCTTTGAGCACAGGGAAAACAGGCTATTTTATAGCCCAGGAAGGGTCTGCCTGCCGGCCTCGGCCTCAGGCTGCTTAAACCTTGGCCGGGGACGAGGATGTACTCGGGTTTGCCACTGACTGAAGCAGTGGTTCAAAGTAGCATAACTAAGTTCTAAAGAAAGAATGAGGAGGAGTAAATCCATTACCTCCAAGGAATGGGAAAGAGCATGGCTGGCCAGGCCACAGGCGCTGATGGGCAGAAGTCCAGGTCCTGTTTTCCCATCAGCGATGCCCAGGGCCAGGGTTGCCCCTCCAGAACTTGAGGAGAGGCTTGTTGTCGCCCGCATCAGTGAGGGCTGAGCCGGGAAGAGGAGCAAACGAAGCTCCCCGCGTGGGCATAGGAGTAGGGGTGCTCTCAGGTCCAAGGGCACCGCGCTGGGGAAAGAGTGCGCCGAGTAGCTCTTCCCTCTGACCGGTCCTCCTCCTCCAGCCCTGTGGTCTCCCCAGGAAGGACAGCACCCCCTAGTGGCTATTGGGCACTAAGAGAACCCCTGGAACCTTCTTCCAGGGAAGGGAGAGGGGAAATATTGCTCACCTGCAATCCAGCTCTGCCTGTTCTTTACAGGCATTGCACACACAACACACATAAAGTACAGGTGGACCTTCATCACACCATCCTGGCCACCATCTTGACTTCTTTGACCGTTCCCTGCAGATGCCCCCGTTCCCTAGGTGACGTGCCTGTCTTCCTGCCTGTCTGTCTGGGCACCCCGTTGGCTTCCCAAAAGCCTGTCAAGAAGAACTGTTCCAGAGAGCTTCGGGGGGGGCCTTAACCGATTAGGGATTACTAATTTTACATTATTTTAGTGGTTATGCCTTTGCCAGATGTTGATGCGTTAAGTCTCTTCTGCGATTGGAGGGAGCAGCCCTCGTGGCTGTGCTCCTCTGCCCGTTTCCCAGCCGAGCCTCCCCAGGGTCTCCAGGTGGGACCGCACTAGGGATCGGGGCCACATTCGCCTTGCCTCTCAGTTCTTGCCCCAAGGATCACCCGACAGGGAACTGACCCTTCTCGCGGCAGTTACCTGGGTGTCTGAAGGCCTCTGCTCGGCTCTGCTCGGCTCGGCTCCTTCGCTGAAGAGGGATTTTGGCCACAGACTGCTGTGACCTGTTACAGGAAGTCACGCTTGTGAATTTGATGTCAGAGCCAACTAGGATGGTCGTAGCACCTTCAGGACTTTAAAACATTCCCTGGTTTGCAGGATCTTTTTCTGGAGCTTGGACATGGCAGGCAGCAGGAAGCTTGGCTGATCTCAAAAAAGCTATGTGGGGTGAGACCAGCTTACCCCTTGGATGGGGGACCACCAGGAAAGCTAGAGCCATGGGCCAGACTGGGACATTTAGAGCAGAAGGCAAAGGCCAGCCGTGTTTCCGTGTTGTTTAGAAAAGCAAGCAGCAGGCGGCACCTGTGGCTCAGAGGGCCTTTGCACAATCTCTTGCGTGTGCCAGTTGCACCCAGTCCTGGATTGGGAGGCCCTACTCATGGCCACACTCATCTACACAAATGTAGCTTTGGATCATTTCCCTCAATAAATCAGTGAACAAGTATAATGTTTTTGACCCATTTGTTTACTTGGGTTCTCTTTATCTAGTTTTGGGACTTGTGTGGAGAACAGATCATGGTTTAGGGCATATTTATGTAGAAATATAGAAAATTCAAAAGGGTTCACAAACTTTTAAGCACCACTGCATATGGACAAGATAGGTCGTCCTCTTCTCTTTCCTTCCACCTTTCCCAGCCTTCTCCAGAGAGCTAGGTCTTCGCATAATGTGTCCAAAATAGGATAATTCGAGTCTGAACATTTGTGCCTCAGATAGGAACTCTGGGCTGATTTGTTAATGATCCACTTGTTTTCTGGGCTTTCCGTGGTATTCTAACCCTAACCCTTCTCAATTATCCATCATGCATCGACAACAGCATCTCGTGTTCTTCAGCCTTTTCTAAGGCCAGCTTGAACATCTGGCATCTCTTTTCATGTAGGGCTCTAATCTGCATTAGATGGTCCAAAGCATTATTTTGTTAGTATGTGAAATTAAGGATATCGTATGATAGTTTGCGCTCTCTGTTAAGTCTCCTTATTTTGGTATTGGAATGTAGATTGACCGCTTCCAATCTGTTGGTCACTGTGTTGTACTCCAGATTTGCCTGCAAAGCTTGGTTAGAACCGGGACTGGTTCTTCTTCTGTTCCTTGCCATCTTTCAGTGGGTATTCCATCAATTCCTGTAGCCTTCTGACTTGGTAATGACTGGAGTGTTGATCTAACTTCATCTTCTAGGACTAGAGGTTCTTGTAAGTAGGGAATATCTTCTAAAGTATCTTGGATGTTGATATCTCTACTGTACAGTATTTCTGTATACTCCTTCCATCTTTGTTTGATCTTCCTTGAATCGGTTACTATCTGTCCCTCGGTGTCCTTTAGCGCACCAATTCAAGACTGGAAATTCCTTCTGAATTCAGAGATCTTTCGGAAGACTCTCCTTGTTTTTCCATGTCTGTTTCCATCTTCAGTGTCTTTACAGATGTTGTTGTAATACTGTTTCTTGTCTCTTCTAACCAC